TAGCCTGTAGGGTGCAAAACGGCTTCTTCACCCCCTCCCGTACTTCCCATGGTCTCCTCTGTCCCTCGCTCAGCCAAATTCTTCTTCTATCGCCCCCAGCTATATCTACCCTGCCGCTTTTCCTCTGTCTCTTGCCCCTCTCTCCCATAGCTAGCTATATTATACAGATGGCTTTAGTCCGAACTGTACGCCTGTAACTGTGCTCGCGCATGCGCAATATCTCCCGAGAAGAATCATAATCTGCAAAGATTATGCATTTAAAATGAAGAGGAGCTATATCCTAGCATGAACTTATATGATAACATTCTATCAGTAGACATCCCTTAAGACATAGGAAGAAGACGCTGCATGTAAGGTGCGCTTTGCATATGCCAGTCAGTACATGATCTGGCTATGTTAGTGTGTTGACGCATGCGCAATATCTTACCAGAGGAGTTATATTTTGTAATGAATATGCATTTAATATTGTTAGGGCGTATCTCAGCATAGATTGATGTAATTAATTGCTATCAGTACACTTGTGTTTATAATTAGGAGAGCGCCCTAGCCTGTAGGGTGCAAAACGGTTACTTCACCCCCTCCCGTACTTCCCATATTGTCTCCCCTGTCCCTCGCTCAGCTTAATTCTTCTTCTACCGCCTCTCAGCTATCTGCCCTGCCGCTTTTTCTCTGTCTCTTGCCCCTCTCTCCCATAGCTAGCTATATTATACAGATGGCTTTAGTCCGAACTGTACGCCTGTAACTGTGCTCGCGCATGCGCAATATCTCCCGAGAAGAATTCTCTCCCATAGCTAGCTATATTATACAGATGGCTTTAGTCCGAACTGTACGCCTGTAACTGTGCTCGCGCATGCGCAATATCTCCCGAGAAGAAGAAGAATCTGCAAAGATTATGCATTTAAAATGAAGAGGAGCTTTTCTAGCATGAACTTATATAATAACATTCTATCAGTAGACATCCCTTAAGACATAAGAAGAAGACGCTGCATGTAAGGTGCCTTTTGCATATGCCAGTCAGTACATGATCTGGCTATGTTAGTGTGTTGACGCATGCGCAATCTCATACCAGAGGAACTATATTTTGTGATGAATATGCATTTAACATGGTTAAGGGCTATCTCAGCATCGATTTATGTAATTAATTATTATCAGTACACTTGTGTTTATAATTAGGAGGGCGCCTTAGCCTGTAGGGTGCAAAAAAGCTTCTTTACCCTCTCCCGTACTTCCCATAATTATTGTCTCTCCTGTCCCTCGCTCAGCCTAATTCTTCTTCTACCACCCCAGCTATCTTCCCTGCCGCTTTTCCTCTGGCTCTTACCCCTCTCTCCCACATCAAGCTATATTACGCAGTTTTCTTTAATCCGAACTGTACGCTGGAACCGGTGCTCGCGCATGCGCAATGTCTCCCGAGAAAAATCATATTTTGCCAGGATTATGCATTTAAAATGAAGAGCAGCTATCCTAGAATAGATTTATATAATAACATTTTATTATTAGACATCCCTTAAAACATAGGAAGAAGATTTTTATGTAAGGTACCATCTGCATATACCAGTCAGTACATAATCTGGCTACGTTAGTGTGTTGACGGATGCGCAATGTTTTATCAGAGGAGCTATATTTTGTGATGAATATGCATTTAATATGGTTAGGGGGTATCTCAGCATATATTTATGTAATTAATTGTTGTCAGTACACCTGTGTTTATGATTAGTAGAGCGCCCTAGCCTGTAGGGTGCAAAACGTCTACTTCACCCCCTACCGTACTTCCCATATTGTCTCTTCTGTCCCTCGCTCAGCCCCAGGGCCGTACGCAGCGGGGGGGCAGAAGGGGCAGTTGCCCCCCCTAGAGATTTTCAGAGTATGCCTTTTAATGGGACAAATAGGGCAATAGAGGGCGTGGGGAGTACCTTTGCCCCCCCTACAGAAAATTTCCTGCGTATTTGCCCCCCTACAGAAAATTTCCTGCGTATTTGCCCCCCTACAGAAAATTTCCTGCGTACGGCCTTGCTCAGCCCAATTCTTCTTCCACCGCTCCTCAGCTATCTTTCTTGCCGCTTTTCTTCAGTCTCTTGCCCCTCTCTTCCACAGCAAGCTATATTATGCAGTTTTCTATAGTCCGTACTACACGCCTTAAACGGTGCTCGCGCATGCGCAATATCCCCGGACAGATTTCTATTATGGACTCTTGATATATATGTATAGATAAATGTATATATACTATTACATGGTCAACGACAAATTGTTTAACGTCAACAACACAGAACACAAACCGCGCTCCCAGGCCAAATAAGCTATGTCCTAAGCTACATAAAACCATCAGTTAACTTGTCTCAGTCTTCGTAAGCTGTTATGATATTTTTGTTTCGTTTTCGGATGGTTTTCGTATGCTTGTATTTTTTTATTCAATACTTTTAACTTCCTTCTGTTTCGCACGGTCTTATTTAAGTCTCAAACAACCCAACACTAAACCAAAATGTGGTAAACGTATGCGTTATATACGAATAAAAATTATCATTTTAAAATTAAAACTCGTTTACGATTTATTTTAATTGATTTATATAAGATCCAGCTAACATGGCGTTTCACAAAATCGCGTTAAACAAAATCGCGTTTCTGTAATCGTTTTAATAATCCATGCTTTGCTTTGATACATTGCTTACATAAAGTAATTTTTTTTAAATATGACCATTCGATCCAATGTTGTACCGAAAAATTCCCAAACATTCTTCTATATTTTCTCCTATAAACGAGCTTTTCCCGAGACAGATGTGAAGTAGTAACTTTGCAGCGTCATTTAACGCAAAAACGTACCCAGGAAAAAATGTATCATTAAACTTTAATAGTAGAATTATTAACTTAATAATCAAATCATTAAAGTTAAGAGTTCTGAGAATTAAACTAAATTAAATTTACTATCAACTTGGCCAGTTGATCAATAAATTCATCTCACAATGACATCATGAACTTAATAATCAACTATTAAAGAGGTTTAAGAATCACTGGAAAGATAATGATCGACTCTTAACTTAATGTTAAAAAGTCATTATTTCAGTTTGATCATCATCTTTGATCACCAAGTTAATGCTCAAACTATCAACCTGAAAAGGATCAACTACCAACTTTTATGGTTTAACTCTTAAGTCTGTTTGATCATTATCTTTGATTACTAGATTAATGCTCAACCAATTAGAGACACCATATTTATGGAAATAATGTGCAAGAATATTTGGAACAACATGCAGAACTACATAATGCAACATTTCAATAAACCGGTGTCTCATTCACAACAAAGTGGATAATATCAGTGCATGAAAGAGAAATAAACTAGGGGGTCGGGGGGCGGTGTATTTTACCCGTACGACTAATTAAATGCTAAAATCGCCACCACACCATAGACGGTATTTGGGCTTGTATATATAAGATAGCCGAGTCGGTCTACAGTTAGTTACATAATAACTGTGCATATATTGCCAGGTTAACTTGTGTACTGTGACTACTGTCTGCAGTGCATGCGTGGTACGGTAAAAATACACGCGTCGGATGTCCTGGTCGAACTGCAATTCTGGACGATCGATTCCCGCGCTGGCAAACTTTTATTGGTGTGTTATTATTGGAGTTACTATATTTTAAGAATCGATATTAGTGGTGATTGATTCATTAAATTTAGTAATCAAACTATTAAATGCGGCGAAATTACCATTAACTTTAATGTTCAAATCATTATCTTTAAGAATCAAACTATTAAATGCGGCGAAATTACCATTAACTTTAATGTTCAAATCATTATCTTTAAGAATCAAACTATTAAATGCGGCGAAATTACCATTAACGTTTTAAATTGTCAAAATCATTATCTTAAAGATCAAACTATTAAATGCGGCGAAATTACCATTAACTTTAAGTTTCAAAATCAATTATCTTTAAGAATCAAACTATTAAATGGCGGCGAATTACCATTAAACTTTAATGTTAAAATCATTATCTTTAAGAATCAAATCATTGGACAAGTTGATGATACAGCTATTAAGTTTTTAATGCTCAAATCATTAAAAAGTTAATAAATTCTACTCTTAAAGTTAATGATACCTTTTTGTCCTGGTAGGCTTCACGCATGCCACTCCCGGCGACAACAGATCGCATACAGAGAGAGATAGCCGCCCCAGTCAAATGCAGCAAAATATCGAGTTGAAAATATTTTGCATAGTGTCACTCTCTTCGTCCTAGAAATGAAATATTCAAACGCGAGGATACACAGGACAGTGGCTTTTTATTTCACAAACCTAACGTTCGTTGCTTGATTTGCTCGCTTGATAGATTCTGCTCACGTGTAGGTACGGGTAGTCAGTATTTTCACGTGCCTATCGGTCCATTTTCTGTGAAATCGGTCGGACAGGTAAATAAAAAATAGGACTATCTCATTTCTTGGCACCTATGTGGTTGTAATGGGCCAGTAATAATACGGAGATGTTGCAAGCCACGCGTGCGTGCGAACGTAGATATCTATCTATCTCTCGATCAATCGATCGATCGATCCATCTATCTATCTATCTATCTATATATCTATCTACCTATCTCTCTATCTATCTATCTATCCATCCATCCATCTATCTATCTATCTATCTATTTATCTATCTATCCATTCATCCATCTATCCATTCATTTGTTCATCCGTCCATCCATCCATCCATCCATTCAGCCATCTATCCATCTATCCATTCATCCATCATCCATCTCCATCTATCCATTCATCATCCATAACCCATTCATCCATCCATCCATCCATCCACATACCATCCATTCATCCATCCATCCATCCATCCATCAATCCATTCATCCATCCATCCATCCATCCATCCATCCATCCATCCATCCATCAATCCATCCATCCATCCATCCATCCATCCATCCATCCATCCATCCATCCATCCATCCATCCATCCATCTATCTATCTCTTCCGCGCTTTTGCATAGTAAAAACAAACAAGAACAAATCTGCCGTATTGACTACAGATTGTATATTATGTTTGTATATATAAGAGTAAAATCGCCTAGTCTGTAATCTCTTGGTTTCATCATAGCATATAAAAATTTAAACATTGCAATTTTTAGCAAAATTATTTATTAATTAATAACACGTTTATTAATACCTAAATTCTATCACTACCGCTAATAAAATTGTCAAGCACGATATGGCGTACAGGTAAATACGCATAGGTTATAATTAAGTTAAATAAATATAATAACGTATGCTACAAACAGTTTAGCGGCGTACGTATTTGCAATTAGGAAAACACGTTACATTTATATAATATATTCCATACACTATACACAGTAAAATAACACGTAGTTAATTAGATAATTTATAACATCTTAATATTATGCTTCCAAACACAGGCGGTCAGCACGTAAATAGCTCGGGTGAACAAATCTTTCTGGCCCTTTATAATGAGAACGAGTTGTGCGTTTTCTATCGATTTAAAGGTGCGATTAAATGAACTTTTATTTAAAATATTTTCGCATATCATTTCTTTCGGTAGTAGCCTCTGTTGATTCGTAACCGGTCCTGATATCTCGGAGCGAATGGAACTCGGTCCGGGTTATCACACCATCGAATAGCTGTAAAACAGTAGAATCCTCACCATTAAACACTTACCATGTATAATGACTTACAAACAAGTATATTGAGAACGTACATGCACAAGGTCTCGTGGTACATTCTCGCTCGCTCTCCCTCTCCTCTCTCTCTCCCAGTGTTTCTCCCATTATCTCCGGTTTCTACTCTCTCTCTCTCTCTCTCTCTCTCTCTCTCTCTCTCTCTCTCTCTCTCTC